AGACCTGATTTGTGACCTAGGATGTGATCTATTCTGGAGAATGTTCCATGGGCACTCGAGAAGAATGTGTATCCTGTTGCTTTGGAATGGAATGTTCTGAATATATCTGTGAAGTCCATCTGGTCCAGTGTATCATTTAAAGTCTGTATTTCCTTGTTGATCTTTTGCTTAGAGGATCTGTCCATTTCAGTCAGGGGGCTGTTAAAGTCCCCTACTATTATTGTATTGTTGTTGATGTGTTTCCTTGATTTTGTTATTGATTGGCGTATATAATTGGCTGTTCCCATGTTAGGGGCATAGATATTTACAATTGTTAGATCTTCTTGTTGGATAGACCCTTTAAGTATGATATAGTGTTCTTCTTCATCTCTTATTATAGTCTTTGTTTTAAAGTCTAATTTGTCTGATATAAGGATTGCCACCCCAGCTTTCTTTTGGTGTCCATTAGCATGGTAAATGGTTTTCCACCCCCTCACTTTCAATCTAGGGGTGTCTTTGGGTCTAAAATGAGTCTCTTGAAGACACCATATCAATGGGTCTTGTTTTTTAATCCAATCTGATAGCCTGTGTCTTTTGATTGGGGCATTTACCCCATTTACATTCAGGGTAACTATTGAAAGATATGAATTTAGTGCCATTGTATTGCCTGTGAGGTGACTGTTACTGTATATTGTCTCTGTTCCATTCTGGTCTATGTTACTTTTAGGCTCTCTCTTTGCTTAGAGGACCTCTTTCAGTATTTCTCATAGGGCTGTTTTCATGTTTGCAAATTCCTTTAGTTTTTGTTTCTCCTGGAAGCTTTTTATCTCTCCTTCTATTTTCAATGACAGCCTAGCTGGATATAGTATTCTTGGCTGCATACTTTTCTCATTTAGTGCTCTGAATATATCATGCCAGTCCTTTCTGGCCTGCCAGGTCTCCCTGGATAGGTCTATTGCCAATCTAATGTTTCTACCATTGTAGGTTACACACCTCTTGTCCCAAGCTGCTTTCAGGATTTTCTTTGTCTCTGAGACTTGTTAGTTATACTATTAGATGTCGGGGTGTTGACCTATTTTCATTGATTTTTTGAGGGGGGTTCTCTGTGCCTCCTGGATTTTGATGCCTGTTTCCCTTCCCAAAGTAGGGAAGTTCTCTGCTCTAATTTGTTCCAATATACCTTCTGCCCCCCTCTATCTTTGTTCTTCTTCTGGGATCCCAATTATTCTATATTGTCTCATCTTGCAGGATCACTTATTTCTCCAATTCTGCTCTCATGATCCAGTAGTTATTTATCTCTCTTTTTCTCAGCTTCTTTATTCGCCATCATTTGGTCTTCTATATCACTAATTCTCTCTTCTGTCTCATTTATCCTAGCATTTAGAGCCTCCATTTTTATTACACTTCATTAATAGCCTTTTTAATTTCGACTTGGTTAGATTTTAGTTGTTATTTCTCCAGAAGTGGTTTCTCTAGTATCTTCCATGCTTTTTTCAAGCTCAGCTAGTATCTTTATAATCGTCATTCTGAACTCTAGTTCCGACATCTTACTAATGTCCGTATTGATTGGGTCCCTGGTAGTCAGTACTGCCTCTTGTTCTTTTTTTTGAGGTGATTTTTTCCGTCTTACCATTTTGTCCAGAGGAGAATAGATGAATGAGAGAACAAAATGCTAACAGTGTAACAACCTCAGAAATATATACACTAAACAAATTAGAAGACACCCGAAACTGGGGGAAAAGAAAGGGAAAGAAAGAAAAAAGAAAGAAAAAAAAAACAGAATATGATCAACTATGATCAGGCTGATGCATAGATCAGTGCCACACACTAGATTTGGGGTGCATTTTGGTCTGTTAGAAGAAACTGCCTCCGAAAATTTTAAAGAAAGAAAAACATATATGTACAAAAATAAGGGTAAATACAATAAAGGGTTAGAATATAACTGTATAGATGAAAATTATAAAAGGTTTTATAAAAGGAATTGATAAGAAGTTGGTTGAAAAAAGAGAAATTTTTAAAAAAGGGGAGATAATGGGATCAGGCAGGAGACTAGAACAAAACCTTACACTAGAGATTTAGGGTGTATTTTGGTCTGTTAGTAGAAACTGTATCCTTAAAGAGAGAACAACTTATATATGGTTAACTACAATGAAGGGATAGAATAGGACTCTAAAAATGAAAAATGAAAAAGATTTTAAAGAAGGGATTGATAAGATGTTGTTTGAAAAAGGGAAAAAGAAAAATTTAAAAAAATATAGAAGAAAAAAAGAAAATTAAAAAAATTAACTTTGAAGACTAAAGAATCATGGGGAAAAAAGCCATGAATTCTATGTGCTGTATTCCCCTAGTGCTGGAGTTCTGCCCTTCTTGATCGGTAAACTTGGCCTTGGCTGGCTGTTCTTGCTGATCTTCTGGGGGAGGGGCCTGTTGCTGTGGTTCCCAAATGTCTTTGGCGGAGTTGGAGTTGCCCCGCCCTTGTCGGTCCAGGCTAAGTAATCTGCTCGGGTTTGCTCTCCGTAGCTTTTGTTCCCTGCAAGCTTTCTGTACAGCTTTGGAGGTCGAGAGTGAAAATGATGGCCTCCCAGTCTCCACCCCGAGGAGCTGACTACTTGAGGCCCCACCCCTCAGTTCGCCCCCAGAGAAAAGCAGTCAATCACTCCCGTCTCCCTGGTCTCCAGCCACACTAGGGGCCGAGCGTTTCTGTCTCTGGCACCTGACCCCATTTAGAGTCTCCAAACCCAGCACATTCCTGCGTTGTGCTCCCGTGCCTGTGTCTCCCTGGATCTGCTGCTTGTTGGGTCCCTGCTGGAGGAGCAGTGGGCCGACTGTGCCGCGGATCACAATTTATGGCCACCCCTCACTGAGAGCTCATTTCTCGGCTCCGTCTTTGCAGCTGGCTTCCCCGCTCCGAAACCTGGGAGCTCTGCCACACTCAGGTTTCTTTCTGTGACCCGTCTTTCTGTGACCCGGAGGGTCCTGAGACCACACTGTCCCGCGAGGGTTCCACCCCAGACACTGGAGCGACGTCCCTCAGCGGAGCCGACTTCTAAAAGTTCCGATTTTGTGTTCCCGCTGCTCTATCACTCTCTGGTAGCTGGCTGATGGAGGCTTCTTACCCCTATGGTCTGTCTTCCCAAATATCGCCCCGGATTCACTTCTCTGCAGGTCCTACCTTCCAGAAAGTGGTAGCTTTTCTGTTCAGAGAGTTGCTGCTATTCTTTTCTTCAGTCTCCTGTTGAGTTCGTAGGTGTTCAGAATGGTTTGATCCCTATCCAGCTGAATTCCTGGGACCAGTCAAAATTTAGGTCTCATCCTCCTCCACAATCTTGCTCCCCTCCGAGGGAGAAAATCTTAATCAGGCTCCATGCCCAGTGTGGAGCCAGACATGGCGCTCAGTCTTACGACTCTGAGGTCGTGACCTGAGCCGAAATCTAGAGTTAGACCCTTAACCCACTGAGCCACCCAGGCATCCCTAGTACCTGTTTTTATGGCCTATTGTGCTAGGTAAATACCTATTATAGTTCTGATACATCACACACTTCTCTCATTATGCTTATTGGTATAAATCTGTATTCTGTGTTCTCATTATGACTAAGTATTGTTCATTGCTGAGGCAAGTAGTATTCTGTAATCACATTTCCATTCTTGTGAAAGTTTTGTTTTTCTGGGGGTTAATCGTTACTTCAACTTTTTTCCTTTGTATGAATCTTTTCTCTGTATCTCTTTCTATTCCTTATGAGAACTCTGTGAAGTAGCTCACTTTTCAACACATCCTTCCACATAGTCAAACATTATATCACTTCTGTTTCTTTGCCGGAAAAGTCCCTTCTTGATCACTGGTTTTGCTATCTCCTCTGGACTGGTAGCTTTTTAAAAAAGACCATGCACAGCTGTAATCCTTGGGCATCCTTCTCTTATCATCCTGGGAATTATTTTGTCTGTCTTTTCTTGGATTCCTGGTTTCTGAATCTCATATTTGTCTTATTTTCTGCCAACACCTGTTGATATTTTTGTTGGGATTGTGAGAAATTAGAAAATAATTTAAGGAGGATTTTTACAACTGTATGATGTTGAATTTTCCTTTCCAAGAACATGATAAAATCTCTGTATTCAAATAAAAAGTTGCATTTTAACAATAGTGTTTTGAAGTGTTTCTAAAAATGATTTTTCACTTTTTATGGTGAATTTTAATACTAGATATTATTTTTGTGTGTGCTGGTGTAAATGAGGTTTTTTTTTCATTATATAGTCTAATTGACTATTTTTTCTGTATGTGAAAGCTGATTTTTGTATCCTACTATCTTAATGAATTATCTTTGTGTTGTAGTAGTTTTGGATTCCCTAAGAATACAGTCATGTAATTTCCAAATTGAGACAGTTTTATCTCCTTGTTTCCAATTTCTATTCTTATATTTCTTTCTGTGGCCTAATTATGTTAATTAAATACAATGCAATGCATTATTAAGATTGGGCCTTCCATCTTATTCCTTATTTTAGGAGAAGTTGCTTCTTCCATTAAATAAGGTGTTTTTCCATTAAATTAGATATTGCATTTTAGGGTGATTATATGCTCACTTATGTATGTCTGATACAATCATAACATACCTGTATATGATTTTGGTTTATACTACATACCTTTGAACTTACAGTATGAATGTTTTAACCTTAGCAATGTATACTTGGTATGTGAAAATAAATGCTCATTTCTAATTAGTACCAACTTTTAGATGACTGACATATTTGTCTAATACGGTTATTGGGAAATAAAGTAAAATTATGGATGAAAAGTGAACTGGAAAGATGTGATAAGCCCATATTTGAGAGGGTCTTAAATATCATACACAAGAATTTATAATTCAGATTGGGTAATTGGGAGCCATAAAAGACATTTGAGTAATTTAGAAGAAAGTTAATTTAAGGGAATTAATCTAACACCATGAAGTGAAGAGAATTTTCAATATGTAACATGCAGTTGACTTTTTAAATGATACTTATTATTTCCTTTTCTTTTCTCTTTTTAGGAAATTGAACTTAGCTCATTAAGAGAAGCGTTGTCCTTTGTGTCATTAATTGATGGCTATTATAGATTAACTGCAGATGCACATCATTACCTCTGTAAAGAAGTAGCACCTCCAATGGTCCTTGAAAATATACAGAGCAACTGTCATGGCCCAATTTTGTGAGTGATAACTGACTTTAAAAGTAAATTTTTAAAAAATCAATGAGATACTGACAAAGAGAATTTTACATAATGAAATGACACATGTAGGTTTAGGAGTTGAGGAACAAAATACCACCTTAATGTGACCGAAACTTCTTTTTTTTTTTAAACAAAAGTCTATTTGCAATCAGATTACATAATAATTAGAATTATTTAGGATCTCATTTGCTATCTATATCCCAATCTATAATACTTCTAAATTGTACAGTCTGACATTTTTTTGCCTTGGTGCGTTTAAGTAATTCTTAGGTGTTAATTTTTTTTAAAAAAAATCCTCCAGTTTATATTTCATTAATTTTTAAATACTGCAGAGGAACCACAATGCAAAATTTGATAATCGTTATTATTTTTGTATAATCCTGCTCCTTCTAGTGAAAGCTTTGAACACAAGATGTATATGATGTCCCTATTTCTAAGACTAATGCTGTGTAGTACTTTCTGCAGTGATGAAAATGAAGATGTTCTGTTTCTCTGCCGTGTAATACAGTAGCCACTAGTGTAACTGAAGAACTGAATTTTAATTTATTTTACTTAATTTATTAATTTTTTTTTAAGTAGGCTCCATGCTGGGCAAGGCTTGAATTCACAACCCTGAGATCAAGACCTGAGCTGAGATCAAGAGTCAGATGCTTAACTGACTAAGCCACCCATGTGCCCTGAAGAACTGAATTTTTAAATTTAATTTAATAACTTTATATTTAAATAGCACCCTGCAGCTACTAGCTACCATATGGATCTGCACGGTTGTAGACCTTTACTTGAATACTGGATAAAGCCAACTATCATGCATAACATCTGTTTTGCCCAAGTCCTAGTTATCTCTCAGCCAATATGTACTTTAGTGACTGGCACCAGGCTTGAAAGACTTGAGCAGAAGAAGTAGTCTGGGTTCGTGAGCATATGTGTCTTGACCTTATCCTACCCTTAATTAAATATTTGAGAAAACATATCCTGACTGATGTTTAAGACTTGATTCTGTCTATACCTCTTATCTGTTTAATAATAAGTATTGTTATAAAAAAGTTACACTACTTGAACATTCTATAACTTAGCTGGTTAGTATTTAAAAACTCCTACCATTTCTTTCATTCATGTGTTATTTATCCACCCATTCAAGTGTTATTTCATTTATTTATAGAATATTTACTGGGTACCTAATATGTGCCACTGGTTTATGTATGAGAAATACAGTAATGAATGAAACAGATTTTTCCTGCTTTCATACAGATTACATTTTGACTTTTCTTTCAAGATGTTCAGCTTCAATACAACATATAGCACATTTTGAAAATCAGTAGTCTTTGTCACTTGCCATAGGTCTTCTATTATACTTTGGTATTATATTAAATATTAAAATAATGCATATAAATTTTTATATTAGTAGTTTCTGTGGTAGAAAAGACATAAGTGTTTTACAATATATTGTTTGCATGGTTAAATGAAGTTTTATGGGAGTGAGTATGGTTTTTAAAATACTAAATTTTTAATTAGAAGGCAGAAAATTCAAATGAATGAAATGTTCTTAGTGATTTTGTGTGTCTTATGATACCTTTTATTTGTTTTTAAAATCCGTTGAATTGGTTTGAACTCATTGCAAAATACCTTGGCGCAGCAGTGTTTTTCCTTGTAAGATAACTGATAAACATATAAAGTAGAGGAAACTTATAAAAATTCTGAGACTTTTAGATTTGACTTTTGATCTCTTAGATGACATTTTGGTCTTAATGTCATGGCACTTGTTACATTATCATTCAAGTTACTTCTTTACCTTTAGAATGGATTTTGCCATCAGTAAACTGAAGAAAGCAGGTAATCAGACTGGACTCTATGTACTTCGATGCAGTCCTAAGGACTTTAATAAGTATTTTCTGACTTTTGCTGTAGAGGTTAGTATTTCACATTAATGGTAACATTTTTTTTTTTTTAAATTTTATTTCCCACTCCACTTCTCTCCTCTGGCAAAGATAACATCTTTATTTAGTCTGTGTAATTTCCCCTTCATGTTGATCTACCATTGTTTCTTTTTTTAATACTCAGAATTACAACTCTGGATATGATAACTAGCATAACAATGCTTAGTTTACCTCAGGGATTCTGTATCAATAAATAAGATATAATTTCTAGGATTTATATAAAAATATGAAATTATTTATAATGTCTTTATTTGGAATTTATTGTCTTTTTTGATGTTTGGATGTTACTAGTGTGTCATATTTTTTCAAGTCTCTCTAAGTCTCCTTTCACAAAAATGGAGATCTTTACGAAAACACACAGAACTAAATGAATCAAAAGCAAATTTTGCTTTTACTGGTAATGGCTACAGGATTAGAGTGAAATAGGTTGATAACAAACAAACATAGCACTTTTAACTAGTGGTTTTCCAGTATTAAGAATCACGTTCTATATTGTGTATGTCTTAAGGATAAAACTACAATAAAACCACACTGTTAATACAGAGAATTTTAGATCTTGTCTAATTGTTTATTACCCAAAATATTTAAAAAGATACTGTCACTTATAAGGCAGTTTCATGGTATAAATCTTGAGAAACTTTATTGCAGCTTCCAAATTTATCTTACTTTTTAAAAGTATAGAAAGTAAGGATTTGGTAATTCAATTATTTTAATTTTTAGAAAATGCACTCATATTTAGCATATAGAGTAAATTAATTGTCCATAAATACATAGGGTAGGTTACTCAATGCGTTTAGCATTGTATAATACTAATAATCTACCCTAATTTCATTGTATTTTTTTACCATAATATATAACAGTCCATTATATTCAATTATCAATTCACAATGTGTTTTTCTATGTTTACTGTATTTGCTCAGCCTCATATGAGGGCTGTTACATTAGAGAGTGTATGATATAACCCTGTGTTAAGAAATGTATCTTTTGGAAAAAGTAGGAAGATATACCTAAAAAGTATTAAATTGATCATGGTAATTATTCAGTATAGACAAATGTAGACAGTAACAGAAAAGGTTAAAATTAAGAAAGTGCTTTTTCTTTTTTTTTAAAGATTTTATTTATTTGAGACAGAGAGAGAGAGTGAGCACAGGGAGAGGGACAGAGGGAGAGGGAGAAGCAGACTCCCTGTTGAACAGGGAGCCCGATGTGGGACTCCATCCCAGGACCCTGGGATCATGACCTGAGCCGAAGGCAGACGCTTAACTGACTGAGCCACCCAGGCGCCCCAGCAAGCACTTTTAGGGTAGGAAGGACTTAAGGTATTTTGTCCATTTTATTTTATAAATGGTTCCAAGGAGATTGAATATGCTAATAAGCTCAAAAAATAGATGAAGAAGTTCATAGTATAGTACGTAAAGCAAACATTGAAAAGCTGAAGAATATTAAAATCACCATATGAGAGGTAACTATGCAGATACAGTAGTGGCACAATGAATGGGTAATCACCTTTGCTTGTGGGATGGGGTCAGGGACCTCACAGAAAAGATGATACTTGAACTGAGTGTTAAGAAGTGTCTAAAAGTCCATTGCTGAGAAGGAGAGGATGTATATTCATAGGTAGAGAGATAGCAAGTTTATCAAGACATGAAACAACATGGCATTTGCTTGAAATTTTTAAAGTCGCTTAGTATACCTAGAACATAGGTTGTAGGTTGGCAGTGGTAGAAGGTGAAGTTGGAGATGGCATCAGAAGCCAGCTCATGGAAGGCCCTATGTTCTAAAATAGTTTTAGATTTTATCTTGTAAATGATGAAAAACTGTTAAGGATGGTATTGTTATTGTTAATTATCATTGGTATCTTACTTGCTTTTTAAGAAGACCAACTGTTAAGCCATTTATGGTAGGGTACATAATTGTAATCAGATACCTTTTGAGGAACCAGGCACTCCCATCACCCTATACCAGTAGTACATCAGGATTCACAGTTCAAACGTCTAAATGTTCTGTTGGCTGTTTTTGTGATAACATTTTTGCCACAATAATTATTGTTTTGACCATTGTAATTTTTCCCTCTGTCTCTTTATAATTAAACTTGTATAGCGAGAAAATGTCATCGAATATAAGCACTGTTTGATTACAAAAAATGAGAATGGAGAATACAACCTCAGTGGTACCAAGAAGAACTTCAGTAATCTTAAAGATCTTTTGAATTGCTACCAAATGGAAACTGTTCGCTCAGACAGTATAATTTTCCAGTTTACTAAATGCTGCCCCCCAAAGTTGAAAGGTAAAATAATTTTCTTACTCGTTTTAAAATACTGGTCATGGATCGTGTATATGGTAGAAGGCATCTTTAGTATATTTCTTTCAAAGGAAATATAAAAGAAGCAGCTCTAAAAACAAAATTTTGTCTCATTCTCTTGTATAAGCATCCTTAGATAGGATTGTTCAGTTTGATTTAGGTTGTCTAGACATGACCTGAAATTCTATAATTCTAAAATGGTAACCGTGTGGTATAAAATCCATCACTTACTTATTGAACTGCTGAAAGACTCCACTACCAAATTCTCATATATTGTTCTAAGTAAAAACTTTCATACTCTTTTAGAATTTTAATTTCTATAGTTTTAAAATAAAGATAGTAAGATTGGAAATCTCTTGAAATAACAGGTTTATTAAAAATTATTTGAAAAATTGTATTAGTTAAGGAAATCATTACAATTTTGAGTGTTTGAAATAACTGGTTAAAATACATCAAAGTTCAATGAGTAAATTCCTAAAATAAATTTCTATTTATTAAAAAAATTAACAATAAGTTGTTAAGTGTTTTTTATGTATAGAACACATTTTATTTTACTCCTTTGGAGCAGTTTATACCCTAAACGTGTTTTGGTTATATACATCTTTTCATTGTTTGTTTTTTTTTAACAGATAAATCAAACCTTCTAGTCTTCAGAACCAATGGCATTTCTGATGTTCCAACATCACCAACATTACAGAGGCATAATAATGTGAACCAAATGGTGTTTCACAAAATCAGAAATGAAGATTTGGTGTTTGTAAGTCATTAGATGCTAATTATTATCTTTTTGTCCTTTTAAAACAACTTAATTTCCGATCCCACATTACATTCATGTGACATTTGGAATTATTCTATTATAACCTATAAATTCAAAAATTTATTTCAGTTTATTTTTATTTCTTGTGCAAATGTGATACCAAACTTGAGTTAGAAATTAGCAAAACTAATTATTTTAAGAATGGAATTTTACTCTCTTTTTAAGAATTTAAAAATATTCCTTTATGAATCTTAATTTAAGAATTAAAAATCTTTGTCTACAAAAGACCTGTGTCTGAATTCTCAAGTTCTCAAGAAAGTAAGGGAAGTGCAAGGGGTTAAAAATAAAGAAGGAACTGAAAACAAAGTGTACATAAAAGCTGCCGTTTGGGCTGCAGGATGATGTTGGGGGGTCGGGATTAGTTTCACTAATCAGGGGAATTAAGATCTCAAACAACACAAAGAAGGGCCAAGCCTTAAGACCTACATAAGACCAGGAGTTAAAAGTGAAACCATCTCTGAATAAAGCCAGGACCCTCAAGTAAGTACATCCTTAGTGAAACAACATGGATTATCAAAAATTCACCCACTAGAAAAAGAAGAAAGGGAGTGTTGTCTGTTTTAGTTGGGCTCTTGGGAAAAAAGTGTCTCCTGAGAATTTGTAACCATAAGCTTTTCAGTTTAGATTTCTTTGTACCACCTGCATAGTCTGAGAAACCCTAAGCCAATAAATTAAAATAAAAAGTGGTATTCTCCTAGTAGTACCCTATGATGCTTGGAAGAAGCAAATACAAAATCTTTTTGGAAGAACTTACTCTTGACCTGGGCCATCCAAGATCCCTTCAAATAAACTACTCTAAACATGAGATTTTAGTCAAAAATTTTAAAACATACAGGGAAATAACTCAGGATTAAGCGAGAGTCAGCACACCAACAAACATCAAAATTAGACCTCCAAGAACTTTTCAGATTGACATGATAAAATACATATATATGTTTAAAGATACAAATGGAGTTGAAAACATGGAAAAGAATCAAGACATTATCAAAAAGACCAGAACAATTTGGAGGAAGAAAAGTATAGAATTGAAAAAATATGCTCATTGACATTAAAACAAAATAAAGTTTGAGAGCAGATTACTCATGGTTGAAGGAAAATTAGTGAATTGCAAAATAGATCTGAAAATTATTAAGATGCAGCAGATAGGGAGGAAGAAATGGAAATTATGAAAGAGAGCTTAAGGGACAGGAGAGGGGAATGAGAAAGACCAGCTGATGTCTGAGTCCCTAAGGAAACAGTAGATAGAATTATACAGAATTATAAAGACAGGAACCCCCCACGTGAGTAACAGCAAACAAGACTTGCTACATGACCTAACATCACAAAACTAGGAACAGTAGAGCTTCAATTTGAACACAGGCAGCCCTACTTCAGAGTGCAGGCTTTCAACAATTATTTTGTAAAGACATGCAAGAAATACTCGTAATAGTAGTAATGACCAACACTTACTGAGCATTTACTTTGTGTCACGGACTGCACTCAGTGCTTTCATGTATTCATTCATTTATGTTCATAACAATACTGTGGAAAAACGATTCTCCCCATTCCTCAGATGAGGAGACCAGGACAGCGGCAGCACAGAGAGATACAGTAGCCTGTCCGAGGTCACACAGCTAGGAAGTGGTGATAAGGAACAGTCCACATTCTGCCTTCACAGACCATACTGTACTGCCTTTCTCTATTACGAGAGGCAGACAAAGAAAAATATTCATATGTAAGTAAGTGCAGGTAAACACTGACACTATGAAAAAGTGATAATTACAGCTAATTTTAGGGGGTTTAAGAACATGGTGGAACCAAAATGCACTTTATTCATTAATCCTTCTGTTCTGTCTTTTATTACAGAATACAGATTAACATTTGCTCATGGATTTTTAAAAACCCTTTGTAATTAAACGTATTTCCTAATTCCTACATCTTTCTTCATCTTTACTCATTCTTTTTTTCTCTTTTTTCTTTTGAAGAATGAAAGCCTTGGTCAAGGCACTTTTACAAAAATTTTTAAAGGTATAAGAAGAGAAGTAGGAGACTATGGTCAACTACATGAAACAGAAGTTCTGTTAAAAGTTCTGGATAAAGCGCACAGAAACTATTCAGAGGTATGTATATTCTTTGCGTAGCTCGTGTAGTTTCTGATATTTAAACATATGCTCTCGTATTAACACACATTCATGCATGCAGCTTTCCCAAACTGCAATTTTTAAAAGTATATATATCAAGGACCTTTCTGAGGATGCTTTCTGGGGGAGGCTATAGAAGATTATAGAATTTTTTGATAATAACTTATTTCCACACTAATTACTCTTAACACTATATTATGGGTATTACTACATCTCTGCATATATTAAGGCAGGAACTTTCAAACTGGCTCTCTGAAGTGTTATGGGTTCCACAGATTTCCTTCACAGTTTATTTTAAAAAAATTTTTGAAAGGCACTGTACTAAAGAACACTCTAGGTGAAATATGGATGCCTCTGGGCATTTTCCAGAGATGTTAGCCAGCGGAAGGCCAGTTGTTAGTTGCTAGGGTCCTTAACATAGCAAGACATCACCAAACATGACATAACAAACATTTATGACACTTAAAATGTCTTAAATGATATTAGTGGAAGCTGATGTGAAACATCTGAGTGAAAGTTTTTCTAATCCATAATACCACAGTGATGATGAATGTGATCTTCAACAACTGTCCCCAGAAGTTCTAGTCAAAGGTTGGTTGAGTTAGAGTGATATTAATACCATGCCCATCCCCTGACATAATTGTCAGGATATTTTATCTGCACAGAGAACATTCTTAATCCTTTGAGAAGTTATTTGAAGCTCTCATCCATTTATTTGAGTCCCTATCACTGTCTCTGGTGTCTGCGTCTGTGCCCTCCCCCAGGTGCTAGGCGTCCAAGGCTGTTGATCTTGCAGCATTCACCTGGCCCTGTACCACTATTGCTCTCTCTTTGTTATTTCTTATTCCAGGCTTACTCAGGGGTTTCCTCAGAATGAACTCGAGCATCGAAGTTGATAGCAGTCGCAGGTACAGATAAGGGAACCGGAGCAGCCTTATCTGTAGTCCTGCTGAGAATAGGAGAAAGTGCATTTCTCGTACAGCGGACAGTATCTTTCTGACCTATGAACATTTATAGACACAAACAATAATTCTTTTACATTTTTTTGTATGTTTTTCTTTTCCTTAGTCTTTCTTTGAAGCAGCAAGCATGATGAGCCAGCTTTCTCACAAGCATCTAGTTTTAAATTATGGAGTATGTGTCTGTGGGGAAGAGAGTAAGTAAAACTACAGACTTCCTTATGTCAATGTTATACCTTCTCAGAGCATCTATTTTTGTTTATATAGAAAATTCAATTTCAGGATCATAACTAAGTATCACTATAAACCATAATTTAAGAAGAGTTAAATATTGTTGAAATCAAAAACATCAAAAACTGTTCACTTTTGTCTTCTAAAAAAGGAAACCAGTGAATGAAATTAAAATGCAGAAGACAGTTAACATACCTTATGTTAAAATGCCCAAACAGTAGAGTATTATACTAAATAAATGTCTTAGAACCTTTTCTGGTAACCATAGCAATATGAATTATGGCTGGTTCATTATCATTGGAATAACTGGCTATTTTACTACAAATTTTTTTTTAATTGTAAAAAAAACCATATAAATAAATGATAGACTGAATTTTTAATGGAACTGACTAAAATGATTAGATGTTGAGACTTGATATATTCTGTTTTTAAATTTAGACTGTACATAAAAACTCAAGAAGTTTACATTCAGAAAATTATGTAATTCTCCATTTTCCATTAATAATATGGATGAAATATGCATCCATTATTATGTAACATTTCTTCATATTTTTGAAAATTGATATTCTTTTCAAAGGCAGCGATTTTCAAATCTGTTCTGTGGAGGTATTTCAGGTATCTCGGGGTTGATGAAGTGAGAGTAAATCTAACTACAGTCATGGAGACTTCTGCTCACTTATTCCCAACTAGAGTAGTTCTGTATTTATCTTTTTTATTTATTGATATTTCTCATATTTTCCATTTAGGGGAAGAAAATATGTTTTTTTTTAAAGTTTGAAACAGTGTTTCAGAGCATGTAATTCCAGTTCTTATGCTTGCTTTTATATTTATTTCATTGATTCTGTGATGTACTTTTTTCACATTTAAAAATACCTGAAATTGGGAAGTGTGATATAATCAATAACATGTCATAATTTAATTTTTTTTCTTTTATGACACATAAAATAATGAGACGACAATCAGTGGTATCTCTAAAACATAATAGGTCTTAAATGCCACATAAAAAAGTTTTATTAAGCTTTTGTTCATTGTAATTCTTATATATTTATTCTTTTTTTTCTTTTCTTTCTTTTTTTGCCACTTGCCATGATGTAAATTTACCTGTGGTCAGTTCTTAATTATTGGTATATGGATTGTTCTCTAAATTAACTGTGGGCAGCAAAACATTCTTTAAATTTGTTTTAGTTACCCAGCAAGGTCTAAAGTCACTAACTTTTGTCACTAACAACAAAGTTGTTACATACAAGTTTAACTAAGTAATTTTAATATTAGATCAAGCAGAATCACAGTTTGAGGTAAGATCATGCATTTTATTTATTTTATTTTTATTTTTATTTGGGGGAGGGAGGGGCAAAGAGAGAGGGGAAGAGACAATCCCAAACAGTCTCCACACCTAGCACAGAGCCCAACTCCGGGCTCAACACAGGGCTCGATCACACAACCCTGAGATCATGGCCTGAGCTGAAATCAAGAGTCAGAGGCTTGACCAGCTGAGCCACCCAGGTGCCCCAAGATCATGCATTTTATTTTATTTTTAAAGATTTTATTTATTTATATGATAGAGAGCGCACGAGCGGGGTGAAGGGCAAAGGGAGAGGGAGAAGCAGACTCCTTGCCGAGCAGGGAGCCTGATGTGGGACTCCATCCCAGGACCCTGGGATTATGACCTGAGCCGAAGGCAGACACTTAACAAACTGAGACACCAAGGTGTCCCAAGATCATTCATTCATTTATTCATTTTATTTCTTTATTTACTTACTTACTCATTCGAGAGAGAAAGTATGCAAGGGAAAGCACGAGCAGGGTGGGGGAGAAGGAGAAGCAGGCTCCCCACTGAGCAGGGAGCCCGATGCAGGGCTCGATCCCAAGACGCTGGGATCATGATCTGAGCCGAAGGCAGATGCTTAACTGACTGAGCCACCCAGGCACCCCAAGATCATTCATTTTAAAACAAATGTGAAACATAGGCATGTGTGAAGTATAGGCACTTAACTTACTGGGCCAGGAACTAACATGGATTACAATGTGAAAGTCTGTCAGAATTTATTTAAAGATATATATAGTGATGCCATGGTTAAATTTTTTGCTTGAATTTTTTTGGTTTTTATTTTATCTTAACTTTCCATTTTTATAATTTAAAAAAACCAAATCCTTTTTTTCTCATTTATATAACTTATTGTTAATTATGCGGTAGAAACAATAAAATAATCTCAATAAGTTTAGATTTGAAATTGAGAACCTGAGCTTATTGCATTACAAATTTGTACTAGATGACAATAAATAAACCTTACTCCCAGTTTAATTATTAAACAAATGTCTTACTGTAGAAAGAGTCTTGGCTTTCTGAAACTTGGTCAATACTGGAAATTTTTATCTGTTTTAAAGGCAGTACTGTTTTTAGAAGCAAACTATATCTTAATAGTATATTTAAAATACACTTCTAAAGGTAGAGCAATGCAAAACTAATTTTTGCTTTTTTGCAGCATAAATTAAAAGGATGAACGGAGTTCAAACTCAAATTTTCTTTAATACCTGCAAGAATAGACTGGCTATAAATTTTTATGTGTAGAAGAAGAATTTCAGGAAGTTTTGATGTCTAAATACAGTAGTCCCTCCTTATCTGCAGCATATTGTTCCAAGACCCCCAATGGATGTCTGAAACTAAGGATAGTACCCAACCTTATATACACTAAGTTTTTTCCTATATATACATACCTGTGATAAAGCTTAGTTTATAAATTAGGCACAATTAGAATGACAACAATAAGTAATAATAAAATAGAACAGTTATAGCAATCTACTGTAATAAAGTTTATGTGAATGCGGTCTCTCTCTCTCTCTCTCTCACAATATTGTATTTATACCGTACTCACACTTCTTTGTCTTGTGATGATGTGAGATGGTAAAATGCCTATGTGCTGAGACAAAGCGAGGTGAATGATGTAGGTAGGCACTGGGGTGCAGCATTAGGTTATTACCTTCTGACCGTAAGTCGGAAGAGGATCATCTGCTTCTGAACCTGTTGACTATGGGTAGCTGAAACTGTGGAAAGCAAAACCACGGATAAGCAGGGGGCAGTACTGGGCGCCTGGGTGGCTCAGATGGTTGGGCGTCTGCCTTCGGCTCAGGTCATGATCCTAGGGTCCTGGGATCGAGCCCCACATCAGGCTCCTTCTCCCTCTGCCTCTGCCTCTCTCTCTCGCTCTCTGACTCTCATGAATAAATAAATAAAACATTAAAAAAAATAAAAAAATCTTTAAAAAACAAAAGCAGGGGGCACTACTGTAGTTTCATGGAAGAGAAATTGGTGACAAATTTTCATTTGTTTAAAAAATGCAGCTGTAATTCAGTACTAATACATAGAGGCATGCTGGATAATATTATATAAATGTAAATAAAAAAATATATAGTAACATAATAATGACAGTATGTAACATATAATGTGTATATATGTTATATATAATTATGTAATATATGTAATTATATATAATATTGTGTGGATGTAATTGTTTAGATTCCTGCATCTTGCTGTTGTGAATAAACTGAACCCCAAAATACAATGGTATATGCTGTTAAGCTTTCTTTACATTAGTGAATTTTTGCATAATTTAATCTCTTTATCTGTAATACCCACATATAACTGTATATTTATAAAAATTTAAAATTATATATGTTTTTATCGTATGTGTACTTGAGCCTTTTATTTTTATATTTTAATGCAGATATTCTGGTTCAAGAGTTCGTAAAATTTGGATCACTAGATACATATCTGAAAAAGAATAAAAATTCTATAAATATATTATGGAAACTTGAAGTGGCTAAACAGTTGGCATGGGCCATGCATTTTCTAGTAAGTAAGAAGTATAATTTTTTATCAAAAACTTACGGTTCTATCTTATGAAGCAGTGTAGACAGTTTCTTGACTCAGGAACAAGAAATATATAAATAAATCTGAGTCATTTAAAATAATCTGTTAGTTGATGAATGAGATTATTTTAGGCATATATTTATTTATGTAAAATCATGGTTTTGAAAGAGTTTTGTCATTCTATCAATCTCTTAACATTGCTGATAAACAGTCTGTAGTTTGTGTCACTTGAGTTTAGAGAATTTAATAAAAAATATGCAGACACTTGTGTTAGTCATGGATCGCAGAAAATGCCTTGTTATGGTATTTGTGGGCAGTCGGACATATGTCCAGTGGGAAAGCAGTATTGCCGTAGAGGCTGAATATCAGAGGGCCAGCCGGTGATCAGACTCCTCAGAGTGTATCTTGCCACTGGACAGAAACAGTATTTACTTACTGTTTAGAAATGCATACTGTTCAAAATCTCAGGTTTAGAAAGTGAAGTGGCGTTGGTAGTTTCCATATATTCTTTTTATTATGGGCATAGATTGTTGTGTCGTTTGAGAAGTAAAACAGAAAGCACGGTGCTGCCGTAAACCTTTATTTCAAAGCATGCTTCCAAATTAATGTTTATTAGCTAATACTGTCCTATTTTTTTTTCTTTAAATCCATGTTGGGACCTTGGATATACTAAGTTTTCAAATATTTGTAGATTGATATTTGAATGTTTGTGCATTTAACTTTAATAGGAAGAAAAAGCACTTATTCATGGGAATGTGTGTGCCAAAAATATTCTGCTTATCAGAGAAGAAGACAGGAAGACAGGAAATCCTCCTTTCATCAAGCTTAGTGATCCTGGCATTAGTATTACAGTTTTGCCAAAGGACAGTAAGTTCTATAAAAAACGCATTTACCTTTTCTTTTTCTTTCTTTTTTTTTTTTTAATTTGAGTATAGTTGACACACAATGTTACATTAGTTTCAGTGTACAACACTAGGGATTCCACATCTCTACTTGGAGAGTAGTATAAAAAGCATGTTGTTAATTTTTTTCTCAATCTCTGTTATTCACATGTTCTTGATCAATAATAAAATTTAACTACCATTTTTAGTAGTCCATGTTATGGACTGCAAAATGATTTTTTAAAACAGTTTTAATCCCTACTTGAATGGAAGATCAGATTTTATCCATTTTCTAATGTGAAATTTTCTAATACATTCTTTGAGCAACAAGTAAATTGTCTAAAATTTTTCTTCAGTCACTGAGTAAAAACTTGAGAAGATATATTATCTACTTTGAGATCTTATTTAATTATTCAGCTAATTCTGACTTTTAAAAACTTCAAAAAATTTTTTCTTTTGTGTTTGTTGGCCTTCTATTTAATACTATTAAAGTAAAAATTTCAGTCACATGCAGGAGTTTATTTTTGGTACAAATAATGTTGTAATTGTATCTCATTATCTTAGCTAATTTCTCTTTTTGAATGTTCTAAATGTAGACTCTAAATTGATCAACTTTTGTGCATTGATGTATCCTATTTAAGCCCACAGTATTGAAACTTGATAGCTTATCTGACAGTGAAGACAGATAATAGGGCAGAAAATGTTATAGGATTTTGGAACTTATATTCAGGGAAATTTTACTCTTTGGAATGGAAATGAAGAAGGAGAAAATTTATTCATCTGGTTAAAGAGAAAGGAACCTGTACTCTTTAATCTCTTAATTATACAGCAAAAATATTCATATTGCTTTACCAAAATATACCAAAAGATGCAACAGATTATCCTTCATTCTTATATATCATTTTATTTATTTTATCTATTTCTCATGCCAGATTACCAGAAGGTGGATGTAAAATTGCTCCCTCGTTGCTTGAATAGCATTTTTTGATGGGGTCAAAGACCATAGCAACTTTATTGGGGAATTGCATGATCTTAGCAGAAACTACCTATATCAATTCCATATTCATAGTATCTTGGTATAATTCAGTCATTCATCTGCCTGTTGGTCCTTGTTTTCTCATGTATATGTTAGAATTGCCACTGCTGTTTAATCATTAGAAGAGCTCAGAATGTTAACATTACCTTTATTACTTACACATTGTAAAGAAATTAAAAAAAATCCAAAGGCAGTTTAGGACAAATTTTATGGAAAAAACTTTTTTTGAATGCACAACTCATAGCAAGGGGTAGAGAGAGTAGGACATGAGTTGAGACATGATGGCTTAATGGAAGGAAGTTTAGTTGATCCGGGATTTGTTGTATAAGATTCTAATTCTCTCCATGCTACGAACAAATTTTGTGACTTTGGGCAAATTATTCAGTCTTTATGGGTCTTAGTGTTACCATTGTTAAAGCTGAGATACTAGATGCTCTCAAAGGTCCCTTCCAGCTCCTAAGTGTATATACCTGCTTGTGTGATGCACACAACACACAACCCCAAACAAATAAATAAAGACCTGATTATTCAAATCAGCTAGAAAATTATTTGCATATAAAAGAATTGTTTACTTGTGTGAACCATTTTACCATACTTTATCCCTATCGTTTAAAAGTTCTTCAGGAGAGAATACCATGGGTACCACCTGAATGCATCGAAAATCCTAAAAACCTAAATTTGGCAACAGACAAATGGAGTTTTGGTACCACTTTGTGGGAAATCTGCAGTGGAGGAGATAAGCCTCTGAGTGCTTTGGATTCTCAAAGAGTAAGTTTATATTGACTGTGAAGTTGGAATTACTCTGTGATCCTTGAATTTCGTTCACATGACTTGATATCTTTTTAGCCTGTCTGATGTTAAAGAAGAAGCTTGATATCACATTCTACAATTTATTCTCATCTGGTTCTTTAATTATAGAAGCTACAGTTTTATGAAGATAGGCACCAGCTTCCTGCACCAAAGTGGACAGAATTAGCAAATCTTATTAATAATTGTATGGATTATGAACCAGATTTTAGACCTTCTTTCAGAGCCATCATACGAGATCTTAATAGTTTGTTTACTCCAGGTATGTATTGATGGGATAGTCTTATTGATTTTCCAGCCAGCTTTCTGTCTTTATTGTATTTAACAAATCTTTACTAATTTTGTAATCTCTTGCAAGAAGTTCCTTGATGTCTTTTTTTTTTTTTTTAGTTTTAATTCCAGTTAGTTAACATACAGTGTTATATTAGTTTCAGGTGTGCAATATAGTGAACCTTCATGTCTTTTGGACCCTCTCAGTTTCTTATGTTCATATGACTTTTCCTACTTTATACATATTCTAGTCTTCTTGATTAAACAGTCTCTCCATTTTTAAGAGAAGCTTCTTCTTCAGTAACCTGGTTTTAGTTTACCAATTAATGAATAGTGTACTCTAGAAGTCTGTTTGGCTTATTTGACTTTTTAAAAGCAATTTTTTAAACTACTCATATATTTTATAATTGAGTGGTTTTCTAAACATGAAGTAGATGTGTTTTCGTTTGTCCAGTCCTTTAAAATATGTAGCTAAATGTGCATATGTCTGACCCATAGGTATTTCTTATTCCAATACTACTTGCCATTCTCATCAAAAAAGTCAAAATAATATAATCTTACTTTATAAATACTAAAGCTGCCCATTTTGGAAATTATTTATCCTTCGCAAAAGTCTTTCTTAAAAGCCTGTTAGGTTATGGGTAGTAAGAAAAGACTCTTGTTAATACAGCTTAAACTATTAGAGTTGTCCTGTGTCAGTTTGTATGTAGTATTTCTAACTCATTCTGATTATTTTGGTTAGCTCGAATATATATCATTTTAACTCAGAAAATGTAATTTGCCAGCTTATGGTAGTAATATACTTTATTTCTCCAGATTATGAACTATTAACAGAGAATGACATGTTACCAAATATGAGAATAGGTGCCCTAGGGTTTTCTGGTGCTTTTGAAGACCGAGACCCTACACAGTTTGAAGAGAGACACTTGAAATTTCTACAGCAACTTGGTAAGGTAAGATGTCAGAAGCTTTTTAAATAGCATATAATCCTAGAACATTTTATTTTGAAAATAAAGGCTTTAGGGACATCTAGGTGGCTTAGTTGGTTAAGTATCCAACTCTTGATCTCAGCTCAGGTCTTGATCTCAGGGTCAGTAGTTCAAGCCCTGCATTGGGTGCAGCATGGAGACTACTTAAAAAAAAAAAAAAGAAAGACTTTAGAGATTCTCTAAGATTCACTTTACACAAAATTTAGGGAGTGTTTATAGAAAAAAGGTTTAGTCATCAGTTATTGGAGAAATGCTGTGTTAAATAAAGAGCTCTTTTTACTGAAGAACCTCTTGGAACCTTTAACATGTAATGTGCATTGAGCATCTTTAAAAGGATGATAATTAGGCAGTATTTCTTCTATTGATTTGACCATGGGACTCTTTCTTGGTAGAAGTGCTTTAGTTATATAGTAGAGAAAGGAACAATTAAACCTTTCTACCCATCTCCTTTTATAGTCATCTTAGGGTGAAATAATTAATCTCATTGTCCAGAGTCTAAATGTTGACTGGACTGTGTTTGTTAACAAGACAGAGTTTCTTTCTGCTAAAAGTCACACAGTCATGCCTAGACTTTATATTTTAAGTAAGACACCCAGGAAAAGCTTAGTTCTTAGCAGGTCCAGTTAAAGTGGTAAGCTTTCTTTCTTCTCCTAAGCTTGTTAGTGTAGACTTCTGTACCTTGTGGCTTACAAATTGGAAAGAGAAGATCCAGGCCAAAACCAAACATTTATTATCACCTAGTTTAGGAATTAGAAATTTGGGAGCAACTGAGCTGGGTGGTTCTAGCTCAGGGTCTCTCACAAGACTGCAGTCAAGTTGTCCAGGCTTTGCAGTCTCATTTGAAGGCTTGACTGGGGGAGGATTTACTTCCAAGCTCGCTAACATGGCTATTGACAGGCCTCAGTATATCTGCTTCCCATATTAATTATGTGGGCCTTTCTGCAGGGCTGCCGCACAGCATGGCAGCTGAGAGCACACATCTCAGGTGGGAACCATGGTCTTTTTATAACCTAATCTCAGGAGTGGCATCTCATCACTTTTGCCGTATTCTGTTCATTATAAATGAGGTGATTAATTCAGCCTACAGTCAAGGGGAAGGGATTATAAAAGAGCATGAATGTCAAAGGTAGAGAACATTGGAATATATCTTAGAGGCTGCTAGCCACACTGCGCATCTTGGCCATAACTCTATGTTGATAGCATCAATTTCTTGTTAGTATACAGTGTGTCCAAAACTTATCAAACCTTTTTGTCATCTACTCCCCCGACCTTCCACCCCCCAAATTTATCTATTGACATCTCAGAAAGTGATCTTTAGAACAGTTTGGGAAGTGATGCTTTCAACTGAAGAGTAACGTCTTCATTTCACAATGAGAAAAATTAAGGTCCAGAGAGGCTAAGTAACTTGTCTGTGGTCAAACAGCCATATAGTAGCAGATGTGAGGTCAGAACCTTCCCCTGTTCCTACTCCTGTGCTATCTCCACTATCTCACTTAAGTATTTGTTTTTGTTGTGTGAGTATGCTTCAGTTGCATTATCTTCTATTGTTATCCTTTTGGGGCAAGTCATAGCATATGAAGAGATAAAGAAAATAATTATTTTATTTCACCAGGGATTACATTGCAAAATTGTTTATGGAAAAGGCAGAAATTAGTGTAACATGACTTATTCATGGGTTTATTGTTGAATACATTTCGATTTATTGTTAATTATATGCAGATATTTTCATGACCAGAAACATTAGTCATTAGACTAGTAACCATAGTCACTAGTCACAAAATCATGAAAACCTTAAAAATTATTTTCTGTTATTCTGAACAAGCCATTTAATTTCTCTCATACTTAGATCCAGCCTTTAATGTATATTATTATATATCCTAGAGATCTTTTTTGGTAGACTATACAGAAAGTTTTAGAAAATAGAATCCAACTTATTTGAAGTAAAGGGAACGATCTATAGTGAAATTTCATTATCTTCAGTTGATGTGGCTATTTTTAATAAGCTTCTTAATTCTTATACTTTTATATTTTCCCAGCTGTTGATATGAACATGAATATATGAACTTTTGTTTAAGACCATTTTCTAGGAAAAAATATCAGTGTTTCAAATTTCAAAGTCCAAAGTGGATTCCTTTACTTTAGGAGTCAAATCTTTTTAAACCAGTGAATGAAAATTTAAAGGGCAATCAAAAATGAGACATCTTTGGGAGGGTCTGAATTACTTCTAGATTTTTTGGGTTTGTTCCCCTGAAGTGATGTGGCTTTTATATACAAATATTTGAGTTCTTACAAAATGCTAGGTGCTTTGCTGGTCACTGTGGATATGGGATATAGCCATTGCCTTCGTAGAGTTTACAACTTAGTTGGAGGAGGTAGATTACAACTAACAATTATAGGACAGTGTAATAAGTATATACTGTATTTAAATTTCATACTGATCACAATTTCTAAAATTTTCATAATATGTGAATTGGTACAAGTGTCAATAAGGTAATTTCATGTGTATTTATTCATTATTCAAATATTGAGATACCACAAAGTTTTCTAATTACAGGTTGCTTTTTCATGTAAAATTCTACTAATGTAGGCCTAATTTTGGTTATTTTAAGAATTTTTAAAAAATAGGATGCAACACTGTAGTGTTATTCAGTAATTGATTGGAATTTGTTTAAAATTATCCAGAAAGTATTCCTAAGTTAAACAGTGATGCAGTTATTTATACAAGAATATTATAAAAATTAATTTCAGGATATTATTTTGCATTATTAGGGTATGTTCCTTTTTTTAGAGAATTTCTTATTCTTCATAATTACCCCTTTATTTATTCTTTATTAAATGTTAATGTGCTTTTTCATAGACTGAGGTGGTATCTCATTGTAGTTTTGATTTATATTTCCCTGATGCCGAGTGATGTTGAGCATTTTTTGAAACATAATTCTAAAAATGAATATGCCATATTTACAACATTCCCCATTATCGCAGCTTTGAGTTATTTCCTTTTTCTTTTTAACATTTTTAGTTTTTTACATAGTTCTTTGGATTTAACATTATTTTAAACATAATGTAAATCAAGGAGACTATAAGGATGGCATTTTCAAAATATATTTACAACCAAATATATTTCTCAGTAATTTAGTTTGTAGGAAATTAAAGGAAAATGGTATGGTCTTTAGTTAGTGGTAGCTATTTTAATGTGGCTATTTCCTAGCTGCATTTAATACGGTAATATTAATTTCATCTTCACTTATTTGAAAGAATTGATGTGTTCAGTGGGCTCTCTAGCTATTTTATTATTGAATCTAAATCCAAAATGCCATCCCTACAAAAGTGCTCACATGTCACCTTTTCATTTTATAAAAACACAGCTCTTAATATATATACTGTGTTCATTTACTCTTTTCATTTAGCAGCAGGGTAAAAATATGCACAGGAGGAATTTGTACTTAAAATTATTTTGGTATTTTTTAAGACAACAGAAATAATGGTATATTTTAATTTAATACTCATAAAAAGAACTAAGAAAATATTGCAAAACTTTTCTTCTACTTGAATTCTAAAATGTGTATTTTTGTGATTTTACTTTATACTTGTGTCCTCATATACTTATATTCTTTACTCTTCACCTCAATTAAAACCTAGATTTTTTTTTTTTAAAGATTTTATTTATTCATAAGAGAGAGAGAGGGGCAGAGGGAGAAGCAGGCTCCCTGCTCAGCAGGGAGCCCGACGCGGGACTCGATCCCAGGACCCTGGGATCATGACCTGAGCCAAAGGCAGACGCTCAACCATCTGAGCTACCCAGGCGCCCAAAACCTAGATTTTTTGAAATCCTCTTTATTCCCTATTCCTCCATGGTACAAGATCTGGGACATACAGATCTGGACCTTGCTGCTACTACTCTTCAAATATCAGACTATCAGGCATCATTAATAGTCCTGCCTGAATATGGTTATTCTTCTCTCCTCATCATTGGCCATTGTCTTGGTCAATGCTCCACATTCCTTGGGTACTTTTGGTATTCGTTGTTTTCATCTTCACCTTGCCCCTGCCATTATTTTGGCTACCCATTCAATACCCTTTTTAAATTCCTCAACTTCTCTACCTCAAATCTGTGTCTGTGTTAAATGAGTACACTTTGAATTCTGTAATCCCTTATAATAATCTTCCTTATGAAATATCAGACCCTGAATTCTCCCTCTCTGACTATAACTTTGTATTTTTAGTTTTTCCCAACACATAAATCTTTCTTTGATATCTCTGTTATTGCCAGTGTCTTTGACCCTTTCTTCTTCCTGAAGCCTATTAGCTACCTTCTAGATTAAGCTCTCCTTTTCCACACTAGGTAGACCTCCTGGTAGATCACTTAAATTCTGCTTCCACTAGTATTCACAGTTCTGTCACCTTCCCTCCCTTGATGATGTGTTTTACTTTCCCTGTCATTTCCTCATATAGGAACAATAAAATTCTCAATTATTTTTTTCTATTTGTGTTTTCATCTCTCAAACACTGTGAGAACAAATCAGAAATAAATGTTTATTGTCTCTGTTGCAAATTGATTTCCAACATTGGCTGGTACTTAGGACTCTTTTTATAGGTAGTTCTTTTATTCTCCCTGGTTTGATTTCTTCTGTGGTGCCAATTCCCCAAACATTCTCATTCCCTTCTGGTTTCCTGTCCTAAATCTATTTCTTCACTCTCAGTGTTTGCCTTTATCTTCTTTCAAAAGAAAATAGAGGCATTCCAAATTAAAACAGTGAGATTGATTTGTGCCTATCAACTTGACAAAGATTTAGAAAAATTACAGTGTTTAGTGTTGGCAGGAATATGATAAAATTGACATTTTTTCCATTGCTATTAGAACTTAAATCTGTGTCCCTTTCAAGAGAGCTTCTGCTGCAGCAGGTATCAGGGGCCTTTGAAATGTCCATATCCTTTGAACTGCTAATTCCATTTATAAGAAAATATCCTTAATAGAGATGTACACAGCTATTTATGAATATCATTGAAATGACATGAATGTATTTTTAAAACTTTTCTTAACGTTATATGTTTATATTTTCAATTTAAAAAATCAGTACATTCATAATATACAGCAATTAAAAATAATATTTTCAAGAAATATACAGTGGCATTGGAAAATAAATTTTATGGGCACTTCGTTAAGTAGGGGGAAAGAATATAAAACTCTGTTATTTCCCACTTGGGTTTTTTTAAAAATATGTTTTGGAATAATTTCTTAATAAGGCAATATGAAATAGATATTTTATTATCCTCCATTTCAAGGAGGAGATAGCTGGTATTACAGAAGGAAGTAACTTGCCCAAGGTCCCAAAGAGAATAAGTGGTGGACCAAGATTCTAGCCCCAATCATCAGACTCCAGAGTCCCAGGTCTTATCCACTTTATTATGTGGTCTTTGTAATTAGAGAGACTTAACTTTGAGACTAACATATGGTCTAGTTTTTTTTTTAATTGACTTTTAAGTATATAACTGGAAATATAGTCACTTAGAATCTTATAGCTCAAAGACTACATTGTTTTATTTTTTAGAAATGTAATAATACCATAATATGCTAATTTGATTAATGCAAAAAACTAATAATTTTAAATGTTATGTATCAACTTATCAATTCTATATAGACAATAAGTCTTAAATAAAAAGAGTAGATTTCTTTGAAGACTGACCTTTAAAAAAATGTGGGAACATCCCCATAGGCTAAAAATTTCTTCTTTTTTTTTTTTTAAAGATTTTATTTATTTATTTGAGAGAAGGAAGGGGGAGAGCCCAGAGGGAGAGTGAAAGGGAAAAGCAGACTCCCTGCTGAGCAGAGAGCCCAACATGAGGCTCCATCCCATGACCCTGAGATCATGACCTGAGCTGAAGGCAGATGCTTAACTGACTGAGCTGCCTAGGCACCCCTAAAATTTCTTCTTTCCTTGAGCAAATAAATCAACCTTGTATTAGTCTGCTCAGGCTGCCATAACAAAATACCATCACTGGAGGCTTGAAGAACAGGTATTTATTTCTTGTAGTTCTGGAGGCTGAAAGCCTAAGATTAAGGTGTTGGCAGGGTTCAGTTTCTAGTGAGGACTCTCTTGGCTTCCATATGACCACCTTCTTGGCTGTGTCTTCACATGGCAGAGAGCTCTGGTGTCTTTTCCTCTTTTTATAAAGGCACCAGCCATATCGGAATAAGGCCTCATCTTTATGATCTCATTTAGCCTTTATCACCTTTTCACTGGCCCTGTCTTCAAATACACTCACTTTGGGGGTTAAGGTTTTCTCATAGGAATTTGGGGGGAGCACAGACATTCAGTCCGTAACAGACCCTTCCTTGTTCCATCCAGCTCACTGTCAGTGATATCAAAGGGCATATTGTGAAGCAGCAAAGATCTTCTTGGAAGTTAGTGATAGAGATTTAGGAATTCCCTGACATGTCTCTTGGCTTATCTTAATAATTCACGTTCATGATTTGTTTAAATGCCTTTCTGAAGTTATTTATATTTCAGCCTGTAATTTCTTTTGAAGAAATTAAATTTATAGATTTACTACCTACCTATTGAAATATTATTTCTTTTTCTTATCCTAAAAGTTGCCTAATGTAAGTTTAGAGATACATCTGCTAATTCTAGCTACTGTATACTGAATCGTCTATATAATTTGAATTTACTAGTAGTTTGTCTAGAAGACTTGAGATCTTTATCCTACCGTGATGTGTTTAGGGTAATTTTGGCAGTGTGGAGATGTGCCGGTATGACCCTCTACAAGACAACACTGGGGAGGTGGTGGCTGTGAAGAAGCTCCAGCACAGTACTGAGGAGCACCTGAGAGACTTTGAGAGGGAAATTGAAATCCTTAAATCCCTGCAGCATGACAACATTGTGAAGTACAAGGGAGTGTGCTACAGTGCTGGTATGTTGACCCATTGAAACCTAGTTTGAACTCAAGGTATGTCCTTGGCATCCTGGATAATGGAAACATAAAATGTCTCAAGATCTGGACTTCTCTGCCAGTGCCTGGAGATTGTGCCTGAGATGCTGAGCTACAACCACAGGAAGTCTTTGGCTCCTCGGTTAATCATTCTTTTCACTGAGGATGGTGGTTACCATGCTTGCTTAAGCTTACCAAGAGACTATCGTTTTTAAATAAACAAATTGTCTTTGCTCACATTTTCTATGAAAATATTTTTTAAATTAATACTTTTTGTTCAGTACAGATGAGGAGAAAGGAAATTTTCTCATCAGTTGGGGTTTGCATAAAGGGTTACACAAGATTAAACCATAACTATTTTTTAAGTTTCCTTTCAAAACTTTTTGATTCAAAAAGCCTGTGTTCTTAACTACTACATCACGTAATTTATAATCAGGTTTTGTCATCTTAGAGTTTATATATATCTTTAAGTCATTTATGTATGGTTGTTTTCTAATATTTTATCAGTAAAATATGGCAGAGTAAAACATTGTGTTCCCATTTGTATGTTAAAAGGTCGGCGTAATCTAAGATTAATTATGGAATATTTACCATATGGAAGTTTACGAGACTATCTCCAAAAACATAAAGAACGGATAGATCATAAAAAACTTCTGCAGTATACATCTCAGATATGCAAGGTACTTAATATCCTGGCTACTTGTTATAAATAAAAAGAGCATGCTGAAGTAATTGTTACAAAGCCCTCTAGAGTTTTTCTTAGATAATTAAGGTGGTATATGGAGGAAAGACCCTTTTAAATTGATTATGTTTATAAAACTTAGCTGAAATAAAAATGTTACTTTATCCATAGGGCATGGAGTATCTTGGTACAAAAAGGTATATCCACAGGGATCTGGCAACAAGGAATATATTGGTAGAAAACGAAAACAGGGTTAAAATTGGAGATTTTGGGTTGACCAAAGTCTTGCCACAAGACAAAGAATACTACAAAGTGAAAGAACCTGGTGAAAGTCCCATATTCTGGTGAGTATATTTTTGTACAATAAAGTAAAATTTTAGAGCACAAACTTCAAACTTTATTTTTATTAGTATTAATAGTATGTCATTTATATATTTATAATAATAGCAAAAATTTATCATGCTTACATTGGGCTAAATGCATTTCATGGATCATCTCATCTAATCTTTATAACAACCTTGGAGAAGATGTATTATTATCTCTATCTTGAGTATGAGGAAACTGAAGTGTAGACAGGTTAAATAGTTTGCTTAAGGTCATATGACCAATAAATGGTAGAATTAGGTAGTCTGTTCTCAGAATTTGTGCTTTTAAGCTTTCTTAGCCATGATGATGATTTAACCTGTCATTAAAGGAACATTTTATAGCAATTTGAAGCTAAAGGTAATTTTTGATCTTCAATTAAAATTGTGAGTTGCAAGGAACATACAAACCTAATTTTTTATCTGGTATACATTGTTGTTTTATTGCTTTGTGCTTTGATGCAAAGTCTTCTTTTTTATGTCTTCGTTTTTTGTTTTATAGGAATGAATTGCTGAAATTATATTTAAATGTTTAAATTTGGGATACATTCCAAATAGACTTTAATTCTGGTTTATTCATCTGAAATAATACCATTAAGATTATGTTGTTTAAATCAGATGTTACTGTTAAGGGTTGGGTTTTGTTTATTTTAGTTAAGCATATTTTATTAACATTTTGGGTTTCTGACTCGAAAGTTAGAATTACTAATATAAACAATATAACTGTCAATTTATAAATATTTGTCTGAGATTCATCAGAATTATTAGAAATATATAGATTATTCAGTTAGCTACCGCTAAGTTCATTGATCATCCTTATAGGTTAGTTATCTTTTTTTTAAGATTCTATTTATTTATTTAAATGAGAGAGTGAGAGAGGGAGATCACAAACAGGGGGGAAGGGTAGAGGGAGAAGCAGACTCCCCACTGAGCAGGAAGCCCCATACGGGACTTGATCCCAGGGATCATGACCTGAGCTAAAGGCAGATGCTTAACCCACTGAGCCACCCAGGCGCCCCGGTTAGTTATCTTCATTTATTTTGTATCTGTAAGTTTTATAACTTCTCCCAGCTATTATAAATTGTTAGTCTGGAAGGAAATTAGGTAAGAAAGCACCAGTGATTTAGAACAAATGGATTATTTACACAGAAGAGTAATATATGATGGCATTGTGAATATTTTAAAGAAAAGTCCTTATCTCTTAGAGATGCATACTGAAATAATTATGTTTGAAATACCATCCTGTCCAGAATTCACTTCCTATAAATCCAGTGGGGTGGAGATGGGGAATAGTCCATAAAACAAGACAGGCAATGAATTTAACTAAGTGACATATATATGGTTGTTTATTGTTCTCTAATTTCTGTATGTTTGAAATTTTTTATAATAATAAAACACTTTTTATTGGTGATAATCAATAGCATTACCATCATCTAATTATTTTTAGGGTCTAAGTAAAACTGGAAAATAAGACTCATCTAAACTTAACTATCTACTTTGGTTATATCCCCAGTGATACATGAATTTCATTCTTTTTTTCCAGAATGAGAAATTAAAGAAGTTAAATGGAATTAACTAGAAATCCATAAAGCCTAGTTATATGAATCATCCAGTGATTTGGGCATACTTAATGAATACACTTTAATAAACACTATTAAGTACCTATTGTTTCAAACACCACAGAAGGAACTTGGGATATGAAGATAGGGTCAATATCAGGAAGAAGAAAAAAAAAAAAGGAACTGTGCCCAGTTACCAGGAAGGCCAAACTAAAAGGAAAAGTTTGATGTGGCAGGCATATTCAGACAGGTCCACTACCCATTATCCCTTCCTTTTAACAGCTCATAGTTTAGGAAAAATCAAATGTATGGTCAAATCATTGTAATGTAGTATGTAATTGCAAGAATGAAGAAGATGATGGGAAAACATAAAAATGCAAATAATTTTGCTGAGCGTTTAAGTTAATCAGAGAAAAGCACAACTAAGAAATGACATTTCAGGGGCGCCTGGCTGGCTCATTCGATTAAGTGGCTGCCTTCAGCTCAGGTCATGAACTCAGGGTCCTGGGATCGAGCCCCCCTCATCGGGCTCCCTGCTCAGCAGGGAGTCTCCTTCTCCCTCTCCCTCTCCCCCTCCTCCAGCTTGTGCTCCCTCTCTTGCTCACTCACTTTCTGTCTCTCAAATAAATATATAAAAAATATATTTAAAAAAAAAAAAGACATTTCAACTATCGATTAATAGTTTACCAGGTAGAGAAGAGGAAAGGCATTCCATGAGGAGGGAGAAAACTTGTTTGTGTAAATAAGTAGATAGAAATGGAAGGAGTTTTGTTATAAGAATATTCATTTCTGTGAGTCCTTGTGAGATAAGTAGCAAAAAAGTATATAGTGATGTACCATTAAAGTTTATCTGTTAGCTGGCAATTTCATTAGATCGATTCTTTTTTCACTTTTATTGAAAACAAAGAATTAAACCACTTGATTTTCAAAAGAGAGATCATTAGAGTCATTCCTTTTCTCAGTTTCTGGGAAGTACACCAAAAGTTTTTCAAAAGTCTGACTTCATTTTTCAGTTGAAGTAAGTATATTAAAATTGTGAAATTGTAAAATTAAAATTAAAAAAATAAATTGCAGAGCACATGTACAGAGGCATGTTTTAACAAAGCTAACAAAGCATATTCACCAGAGCACCTTTCTTTCAAGATTACTTCTTTTCTAATTTTAAATACTCAGTTTCATGCCTAATTTTATATTTTTTGTTATAAAGAAAGCTCCTAAATTACGTAAGCTTTGGGCCCTGTATTTCTCCCTGCATATCTGGAAATCACAAGGGCAGTCAAGATAAACTTCAGAGTTTTATCTTTAAATTAATCTAGTATAGTTAATTTTATATTGTTATGAAAATAAATCATTTCTCATTACTTAGTTTATAATAAATAATACAGAATAAAATGTAGCTAAGATTATTATGTAGTAAGGTATATGGTAAAAGGTCTAGTATTCCTTCAGTAAAAATCTTGGGGAGAGGTGTGTATCAAACTCTGATATTTGACTTTGGAGAATTATTAAGTTAGTACAAAAGTCAGAAATAACATTTTTATCATGATCAAAATTTTCCTGTGTATTTAATGGAAAAGAAAGCTATCTACTGCTAAAAACTAATCAGATAGGCAGTTAGTATATAGTTTTATATTTATATTAGCAAGTATTAGATGTGTTATGTAATGTAATGAGGCTGACTAAATTTTATATAAATATTTCATAATATGAATGATAAAATAGGTTTTAACTGGGGGCACCTCGGCGGCTCAGTAGTTAATCGCCTGACTCTTGATCTCAGTTCAGGTCTTGATCTTAGATTTGTGAGTTCAAGCCCCATGTTTGTGTCCACACTGGGTGTGGAGCCTACTTAAAAAAAAAATTTATTTTAACTAATTAATTGAATAATGAACACTAGATCGGAAGTATGAAAGGGAATGCATACGATTTTTATCCATGAGATTTAGCCATCGTACTATTTTTTTTAAAGATTTTATTTATTTAAAAGAGCATGAGCAGGGGTGAGGCAGAGGGACAGAGGGAAAAGGAGAAGCCGACTCCCCACTGAGCAGGGAGCCAAAGGCGGGCACTTAACCACTTGGCCACCCAGGTGCCCCTAGCCATAGTTTAAGCAATTATAATTTCACTTCAAAGAATCCTTGTTATCTATATTGCTTTTCTTGTTCAAAAGTGCTCTTTGTTTTAAGCTAACAACATGTTCCAGTGTGTCCTAGGGGTTGGTATTAAGAAGAACTGAAGGAAAAATACTTCTGCTAAAATATTTTACTTGTTGAAGCAGGCTTTGGGACTCATGGAGGACACTTATATACTCTTCTTGCTGTAGAGTATGCCCTGGAAAATCTTTGTAAATACCTGGGGTTACTCTTCACCTGGTTTGAAGACCTCTGTACTATACATGTGATAAGGATCTGACCCTAGATTGTAACAGCGGTATTGGGTTAGGAGACTGATTTGATATATTCTAAAGGCATTTGATGGCTCATTAGCTATTGGATTGAAAGATGAGTCAAAAATAATTCTTAAGATTTCTACCTGAGAAGTAAAATAGATTGTTGATGCCATTCATTGCATAGGGAAAGTAAAATAACCAGCAGGTTTTGGAAAAGTGGGGATGGAGTTCTCCTTACCACAGCTTTAATATGGAAATGTTCAGTAAGTCAAAGCACAAAAGAAGGGTCAAATTTACAGTTAATAAATTTAGGAGATGTTAGTATATAGGTGGATGAATACTATCTAATGGAAGGCTTTTGACAAAAAGGTAGAGGTCTGATAATGGAATCTTGGGAAACCCAAATTTAGAAGATGGAGAAAAGGGAAAGTGTTGGGGAAATATAATTAGAAATGAAATCTCCTCCCAACCCAGAAAACCTCTGCACAAAGATAGAAAAGAAAGAAAAGTTTTATTACTGACTAAGCTTTAATCCTGAAAGTCATGGCATCACAAGCAATCTGCTAAGAGATTGCAAAGACAAAGAAATCTCACCCTTTTATATGGCCAGTCAGATTCAATCCATTACATAATGTTCTCAAGATAAACAGTAGCTAGTCCTCAAGAGGACTTGGCGGCACCCTTTGTCACACATAATTTATTCTAAGTTCACTTGGTAATGGGAGTGACCATCTGCATTAGCTAATTGGCATTATCCATAGGAAAAACAAACTTCTCATATCTTTATGATAGGAGATAGTTTTGCAACTTGGGAGGAGGCACCTGCCAGAAATTAAACTCTTACCTCCCACAAAAACTGGGAGGTCAAGGTGCTACTTGTTTGATGATCACATTCCGGAGAGATGGTTTCCAGGTTCTTGAGAAAGACATTCTTGGATCATAAAGCTGGCAAAAGGCTTTTATAAGCAAAAGCTTTGTTTAAAAAAAAATTTATATACATTTCAAAGAGACAAAGAATTTACAGTGAGTGGTAAGTTTTCTAAAGTAAATGCTCTAAGAAAAGAGGAGGAAGTCTTTTCCCTCATTTTCAACAGGGAGAATTATTTTTTTCTTTTTTGATTTGTATTTATCCTTACATGGGAGAGAGAAAACCAGCCTTGGAGATGAGGGGGGAAATTGTAGACAGTGCTTTCATGAAAACCGAAGGAAAAGACTGTTTTGCAAGTGTTGGGGGGACAGAATGTCTTCAAGAAGGTTATATTCCATTTGTGAGATAAAACATACATTTAAAAATAACGTAACTGTGAAAAATTTTTTGAAACTAAGTGTAAAAAATAGCCTGGCTAACTGTATAGTATGGACAATAAATGTTATAGAAATTCAGTAGCATGAGGTCATTAAGACCTTGAGTAGCAGAGAAAGATCTGTGGAAGTGAGGAAACTTAAATTGGATTTTGAAGGAGAGATTAAATTTAAGTAAATCACATGTTAATCTCATTAGTCTAAAACAGATCTTTGTCACTGTCCTCTGTAATAAGGATAAACTTAGCAATGGAACCATGATCTTCACAGTCCATTAGACAAAATCCTCCCTTGGATAGTGTTGATACTTGAGTAGACAATGACACCATTTCCCCCTCCGACTTTCTATTTTCTGTGTTTCCTGTCATAATCGCCTTCCTTCTGATTAACAAGTTCTTTCTTTTATCTTTATAGCTTCAAGTCTTGTTTCAGTTTAGAAGCCATTTCTTTTTCCTCTAGGAGACTTACCTCCATTCATTTAAAGCTTTAACTTGCAAAGAGAATCCGCCCCCCCCCCAGTTCCTGGAAGGTACTTTGCAGTTAACTTTGTTGTTACTTATAAAGACAAAAATAAATTTTTTGGATTTGAGTTATCTTTGTGTGCCAGAGGTTCCCAAGACCACCCTCAGGTTTGATGACTCACTGGGAGGACTCATAGGGCTCAGCATACAGTCATACTCATGGCTATGATTCATTTCAGAGAAAGGTATAAAGCAGGATCAGTGAAGGCAAAAGCCATTTGGGGCAAAACCTGGAGGAAACCAAGCGCAAAGCTTCCAACGGTCCTCTCCCAGAAAAGTCACACAGGACACGTTAAATTCCCTCAGCCATGAATCCTGACAGCACACTCTCTGCCTGGCATGTACCAAAATTCCAACTCTCAGAAGGAAAGCAGTGTTCAGTATAAACCATATTGTTTGCAGAGACAGTTTAGGCCCAGTGAGCTACTCTTCTCATTTAGGGAACTGTGGCAACCACTCTGAAATCAAAGTTCCCAGGCATCAGGCAGTTGTCAACATTGTAAGCAAGGTTTTTGAGGATGGCAGCCTCGGGCCTGCTTATGATAACTCTTTTCTGTATACCCTGTCTTTTCAGTCCAGTGATTTTTCAGGTAAAATCAAGAGTTGGCCTATCAAGTAACTTTTCTTTTTTAAGAAGTGTAGCTGATACACGTTACTTAGTTTCAGGTGTACAACATTGTGATTCAAGAAGACAATGTGTTATACTCTGCTCACCACAACTGTACCTCCTGTCACCATACAGCCCTATCACAATTCAGGTAACTGTCTTATAAATGCTTTTTGCATATTGCAGGTATGCTCCAGAATCACTGACAGAGAGCAAGTTTTCTGTGGCTTCAGATGTTTGGAGCTTTGGAGTGGTTCTGTATGAACTTTTCACATATATTGAGAAGAGTAAAAGTCCCCCAGCGGTTAGTGTGCTTTTTATTTATTTTCGACTTTTCTTAACATGAGAAAGACTTTTTCCAAAGAATAATAGTAAGCTTAGGACTCATTTTAGAGCCTCTTACTGCTTGTTTGTAAGACAACATCCAACAAAGTAACACTAAACTTATTCATTAAATTAACTTGCATTTTTAAAAGGGAAGGGGTTGGAAAGGAAAACAAACAAGTAAATAAGTAAATAAAAGGGAGGGGCTATATAGTCTCCTTATATTATTTTTAGTAACTCTAATAAATTTATTCATTCTAGAAATTATTGAAAAAGTTAAATGTTTAAAAATAATTTTCCCTGTTCTATCTAGAATTTTTTTAATGAAGGAAACCGTGAAAAAGAAAATAAAAATCGTCTCTAATTCATCTTCTTAAGATAACCATTTTGATATTGTATGTTTTCTTCCAGGCTTCTATGAAAGTGAAATTTTATAAAACATATTTCTTTTATAAAATAAAGGTCATACTGTATAGTTTGCTATCCTGCTTTTTCATTAAGTACTATAGCATGGATATTTTACCTATATTAGTAAATATTTTCTATAAATATGACTTCTAACTTCCAAGTAGCATTTTATCATAAGGATATAATTTCTGGACAGTTCTTTTCCATTTTTCAGTCTTAATTTTAAGTAATACTTCAGTGAACATAGTGAACATCCTTACAGATAAATATTTATCTCTTGTCACCTTAGAATGAAAGTGTAATTATAGATAAGAGATTATGAACTCTTGTAAAGGTTTGTGATTATCTCAAAATGCTGTCCAGAAAAGTTGTACCAGATTGTACTCTCAATGATAGTGCATAAGAGTTTACATTTTACCATTTGTACCATTTGCCAGTATTGACCATTATATGTTTATGCGGTTTTGTCAAATTGATAGAAGTTATATTTATTTGATTTTAATTTGTACTTCTATTAGTGTGATTGAGTACATATTTATTAGATATTTGGAGTATATATGTGTGTGCATTATCTCATGTGCTTTGCCCATTTTTATATTCATAATTTTCCTTACTACTTATAAGAACACTCTATAAATAAGCGATGTGTTCATCATAAATATTTCTCTAGCTTATAGTTCAGACTTTAATTTTAGGAATTTTTAACATATGAACATTTTCTCTCCATTGCATTTATGCTTAAATATGCATTCTGCATTGTCTTTTTATTATGTCCTCTTTTACAGTCAACATTTTATTTCAGCTGAAATATAATATATGTTAAAGCAACAATTAAAAAAAAGTAAATATGTTTTAGTTCGCTTATTTTGGGCTCTTCTCAGGGAATTTGTGCCAAGTATATTATAGTTATGGAAATGGCATGATAGGGGTTCCACATTCAATTGTCTTTTCTGAAATATGATTGAAAAGAAAGATTTTGATGCCCAAAATAGTTTGTTCTTAAAAGGTCTCAAACATATAAGAAGACATACATAAACAAAATTTTCACCCTTACTAGAAGTTGGGAAAGCTGGTTCAATTTAAATATACCAAAAAAAAAAAAAATCTCATTGAAAAGTGGGTTTGTATTACAGGAATTTATGCGTATGATTGGCAATGACAAACAAGGACAGATGATTGTGTTTCATTTGATAGAACTCCTAAAGAATAATGGAAGATTACCAAGACCAGATGGATGTCCAGATGAGGTAACCAAAAAAGCCCCTTTTTTTATCCACATTCAGTGAGGTGTTTTTATTTCCTTTTTACACAGGGATTTCAGGTCACTTTATGACATTTAATTTCCTGAGCTCTTGGATAAATAGCATCATCATATGACTGTGGATCTAGGCATAACCATGACATTTGCCTATATAGGAGAATTAAGTGGGAGTTCTCAATTCATGTCTTCCACCAATTAAAAGATGGCACTTTATGTTCATTGTAATTGCTTTATTTTCTCTTTTCTAGATTTATTTGATCATGACAGAATGCTGGAACAATAATGTCAATCAACGCCCCTCTTTTAGAGACCTAGCTCTTCGAGTTGATCAAATAAGGGACAACATGGCTGGATGAAAGAAACGAACTTCACTCTGAGACCAAAATAGACTTACAGAACAAAGTTTTGTATTTCACATTACTGTGGACTATTATTACATATACCGTTGTTATGTATATCATGATGCTAGCCAGCAAAGATGTGGAAATATCCATTCAAAACTTTCAAAGTTTAGTGAGTTTTTCTTCATGAGGACATCAGTGAAAAGACTTGATGAGAAGTCCTTAGCAAAGAATTTTGTAAAAAGTTTTACAAACCTAATCAGTCAGTTAACATAACTTTTCTTTGGCAAAAGAAAAAAATAGGCTTTTTTTCAACTCAGAATTTTGAAAGATGAAAAAATTGTAATGTAAATTTTGCAATGTTGAAGATGCACAGAATATGTATATACAGTTTTTACCACAGTGAATGTATAATACCTTGGCATCTTGTGTGATGTTTTACACAAGGGCTGGTATTCATTGGTAATGTTTCCTAATTTTTCCATAGTTGATATACAGTAATGTCACTATACAAATTATGATGCTCAGATAATTGAATAAGCACCTTGTGTTCCTGTTCATCTGTATCACTGGCCAGCAATATAAGCAGATGTACACTTTTACCTTGTAGTTCTATGTACTGTAAATATTTTTCAAAGCAAAGGGAACAAATGTTTAGTTTCATTTGTATAGGAAATTTCCCTGACCCTAAAGAATACATTTTGAAATGGAACAAGTTTACAAAGATATAACACAATCTATTTTCTTATTTGTCTCCCTTGTATCTGTTTGTGGTGAGTATGTTTTTAAAATAGAACTATCTCCAAATTTTTCTAAGACTACAGTGAATAGTTTTCTTTTAAAATTTTGAGATTATGAATGCCAGGAATATTGTCGTCCATTTAGCTGTTGGCTGCTAATAAGATTTTTCAATCCCTGGGACCTTTGGTCATGCATTAAGTTTAAGCGTAAGGCATAAAATAGATTGTTTTTTAAATGTGTGTGCTTATTAAGATGCATAATAGGTTAGGAATTTTTTTCTAAAGAATATATATTTTAGGGGATTTCAGAAATCTCTTGCAGTCATAGAAAAGATTTCCTTTTGTTAGATTCTCATATACAAGGGAGAAATGAGGCTAAATTGGTGAAAAAGTATGCTTGTTAATTTTATTCAAGAATGCCAGTAGAAAATTCATAATGTATGTCTTTAAGACGAATGAGAGATACATATTTTCAATTAAGTATAAAGAATTATTTGTTGTTATGTCCTTTGTTTTAGTGCTATTCCAAAGTGGAAACCATACCTAAAATGTGGTGGGAGGGTTGTGTGTGTTATTTATACAAAGCTTAAAATACTTAGTATTTCAGTTAAAAAGAAAATAGTTTATTTTCAGTGGTATATGTTATTTTTTTAAACTTGTACTTAAAAACTTTTGATTATCTATTTTTTGGAGCTGGCTTTGAAATGCAAATTATATAAGAAAAAATTGCCTCAGACATAAAATTTGAGATTTTTTGGTTGGAAGGAAGGAAAGGGTAGAAATGCTTTTTACATTATCTTTAAAGCATTTTAGTAGTTACCAAATGCAGAAAACATCTACAATGATAGTATATTAGATTTTAAGTAAGATTTCTGATATTTTAATGAAAGTTGAATATAATTTTTATTTAATTTGTGGACTCCTCAAAGATCTGAATACATAATGCAATTAAGAGATCTTCCGTGCTGCTACTTTTCACGTCAAAAGTAGCATATCGTACAATATGCTTGATTTCAGAAACTTAAGTACTTAAAAAGCAGATTTTTAAAGGTTTATAACATTTTGTTTGTTTTTAAAACAAAGGTATTAATTAGATTACTTAAAATCTTTTTCTCTTAATGTTTCAGTTTTTAGTTTTAGGGAAAATAATCCCACATAAACATTCTGAAGTAAAAGTGGGATGACTACCTTATTGTAAAATTCCTAAGTTTGCAGGAGAATTCTTCATTGAAGATTTGCGATGTTTTAAAATTTTTATTCTGACTGTGCATAAAAAGAAGTTAACCTGCAGCTGTTCAGGTGGTTCTGCACAAGAAATAGGTAAGTAATTATTGTATCAGTTAATGCCAAAATGTTTCTTCAAGTTAATATTCTTTAGAAATGAGGGTAAAGATTTTCTTAAAATTCTGTAATTCTGTAAATATTTCAGTACATTAAGTTATATAATCTTTATATAAATAATGCTCTACATCCATGGCTACTTTGGGAAATAGTCACTTTCACATGTTACCCATATATATGCCGCCAGTTGCACTATAATTTGCTGTGAAAAGGTGTTTTCTTACAACTTAAGACTTATGCTTTAAAGTCAAGTGAAATTTTTATCACAAATACAACTTCTGATATTTAACTTTTATTTAAATACTTTTATTGTGGAGTAGAAATAAGAAAGTACCTACAGTTCTATACCTGGGGAGCCATTCTCCATGGGAGTAGCATTATGTGGTCTGCTTATTGAGACTGTGTTATTTTCTTTATTGTGCCTTTAGCATGTTTCCACAAAATTGAAATATTGGTGTAATAAATATTCAGAAGTTATTTTCTTTTTTATTGTCACCTAACCAAGGAAGTGGGGGGTTATACACTGATATAGGGATACGCAGAGAAAGCCTTTTGTAAAAAATAGTGAACTTATTTTTTGATTTTTTTAAGAAGCGCTTCCTAAGATTGTTAACAACTAATGTGCTCTTTATGAACATCATTGTATCCACTCCAGTTCTGGTATTTAAATTATTTCTAATGAAAGGTTTTTTTTCCTAATTTTTCAGTATAACTTATTACAGATCTTTCAGTTTGCTGTATTAGAATAAATAATAACAGTTAAGTATAAGTCAGCAGGATTATCCAAACAAAAGACTAGGTTATATGTGATAAGATTCATTTTATTTAAGAAAAAAAATATCAGAGTATGGATCTGAGAAAATTCTTTATGTTTACTCACAGATTTGGGTTGGCTATACTTAATTTCAAGATAATTAGCACTAAGTGTTTCATGATGCTGACAGGAACATTTAGAGAGATTTCAGAATGACAAGAGAATTTAAAAACTTTCATATTAATCAAATTCATGTAATATGCATATCAGATGGCCTTTAACTTTTAATATGAATCAAATTTTTAGTAAAGTGTACATTATATCCTAAATATTAAAATATTTAATTTTGTAATCTTACCAATTTTGTTTTACTTTATTACAGTATGTTGTCTTTTAGATTAAGAAGTTAATTTCTGTTGTACTTATGCCATATGGGATTGTTTGGTTGGTGCAGGCCCTAAAATACCGTTCTTTTTCAGTCTTCCAGATTTATAAGGAAATGCCTTATCTCTGACTGAAACACCAGTCTTGTAAAGTTGTTAATGGTCATTATTCCATCATAAGTCCTTTCTTTGCATAGCAAATTGCTTAACATCTTATTTTTGAAGTAACTGTAGCAGGTTTATACTTATAAGAGCATTAAAAGATCTTTAAGAGTTCCTGTTCCAGTTATCCATATTCTTAGATTTTTGTAAATGGTTTTAATTTTAATACTTGCCTAGGAAGCACGCCTGTAGATGCTCTTTATTGGGTCAAGCAGGTCACCTTTGAGCAGAGTGAACAGAAGCTTAGCTTTTAGATCTGTCTGTTCGCAAATAATAATAAATAGAGCAAAGTTGGCATAACAGGTATTACAGAGGTGTCAGGCGGCTGAGAAGGCAGGTTATCGGTTGCAGATGGTAGGACATTATCAGAACAGGCACTGGAAACACAAATGGAAGTATGCAGTGGAAGGATTTTTTGATCAACTATCCTTTCCAGGACGGTTGTATACACAGATGAAAATGTTTAGATGCTTTTCACACACACACACACACACACAAAAGATAGTTAAGTGGATAGTATTTTTAATGAATAAGTTTAGGTTCTTTTATCTTTTTTATTTTTTAGTTTAGGTTCTTTTAGTTTTTCATTTTTTAAAAAAGGATTTTATTTATTTAAGAGAGAAAGAGAGAGAATCAGCAGGGGAGAGGGGAAGGGGGTGAGGGAGAAGCCGACTTCCCGCGGAGCAGGGAGCCCAGTGGATGCGGGGCTCAATCCCAGAACCCTAGGATCTGACCTGAGCCCAAGGCAGATGCTTAACCACTGAGCCACCCAGGCGCCCCAGTTTAGGTGCTTTTGAATGCTTGGAGTATATATGAATCTCAGAGTATGACTTTTCTAGTAGTATGTAGTATAAGATTGTGCGTCAGAATTTATTTACTGAAATTAAAAATATTAGACCCGTCATGCAACGCATGTTCGTGGGGAACCTGGTGCTAAACCATTCGTAGACGACCTGCTTCTGGGTCGGGGTTTCGTACGTAGTAGAGCAGCTCCCTCGCTGCGATCTATTGAAAGTCAGCCCTCGACACAAGGGTTTGAAATTAAAAATATTAGAGATTAAGGAAATCGTGGAGAAGGGAAAAGGGAGATAATACAAAGACAGTTGAGAAACGTCGCTCTAGAGGGTACTCATATGGACATGGGCCAAACCAGCACTACCTCAGAAATGACCTCATGAAAGGGAAGATATGTCAGTGTCGGAATCAGCTGAGAGTATGAGATCTTTAAGCAAATATTCCAGATACTGTATCTGGATTAAGAATTAGCTGACATGTAATCTTTCTAAAAAGTCATCTGATTTTAACCTCTCTAGAATTTAAAGGTTTTTCCTTAACAGATACAAAAATTGGGTCTCCTTCAGTGGAGATAAATCCCTGAGTACCATTTTGTTGTCTTGTTTTTTCATTTCGTGATAAATAAGATTAAATGATCCTCTCAAAAAACTTAACAGGGTATTTTGACAATATGCACCATATTAACAATTTGCTTCTTGGTCAGACAAGGAGATAATAAAGTACTTTTTGATATTAAAACCATGTCCTATTACTGTATATTAAAGTCAAAAATAAAATTTCCACAGAGAAAAAGGAAAGAAACAAGCAATGCCAAGTAAAGGTCATATTTATTCTATGAAATTTACGCAGAAGACAAAGTGCTCATGTTTGACAGAAAAATGCTACAGTGTTTGGTCTGGTCTGGTTTGTTAGCCATCCTATTGGCTGTGACGTGCTCTAGCAATGTGGTTTTGATTTGCGTTTCACTGTAATGACGAATGATGTTGGTTATCTTTTCATGTGCAATTTATTGGCCATTTGTGTATCTTTGGGGAAATGTCTATTTAAGTCCTTTGCCCATTTTTAAAATTGAGTTTTGTGTTGTTAAGTTATAGGAGTTCTTTTCTTCTGGATATTAACCCCTCATCAGATACATAATTTGCAAGTATTTTTTCTCATTCTTGCGTTACCATTTTACTCTGTTGATTTGTGTCCTGTGAAGCACAAAAGTTTTCAATTTTGATGTATTCCAATTTCTCTCTTTTGGTGTCATATCCAAGAAATCATAGCCAAATCCAGTGTCGTGAAGCTTTTTCTCTGTTTTCTTCCAAGTATTTTATAGCTTTGGCTCTTCCATTTATGTCTTCAATCCATTTTGAGTTCATTTTTTCATATGGTGTAAGGTAAGGGTCTAACTTCATTTTTTTCCATGTGGATTTCCAGTTTTCCCAGCAACATTTGTGGAAGAGTGTCCTTTCCCCATTGAATGATCTTGGGGCACCCATGTTGAAAAATCATTTGACCATATATGTGAGAGTTTATTTCTGTTTTATTCCAATAGTCTATATGTTTGTCTTTATGCTGGGACCATACTGTATTGATTACTAGTAGTTTTTGCAGTAAGTTTTGAAATCAGGAAGTGTGAGCCCTCCAACTTTGTTGCTCTTTTTCAAAATTGTTTTGTCTTTTTGTTGTCCCTTGAGATTCCATATGAATTTTAAAATGGGTTTTTCTACTTCTGCAAAAAACTAAATTTTTGCAGATCTTGGGGTTTTGATGGGGATTGCATTAAATCTGTATATCACTTTGGGAACAGGTAGTACCCTCTTGTGTGGATTATCTCATTTTATCCGTACAATTGGTAGGTACTATTATTTTTCTCATTTTAAGTGTGTGGAAACTGAAGTTTAGCAATATACAATAAATTCCAAGTCCCACGTGTAGCAGGAAGAGATGCTGCAATTTGAACACAGGCAGTCTGACTCCAGTGCCAAAGTTGATAACCATTTCGCTATGTTGCCTTTCACAGCTTTGACTGTGCGCATATAAAGCAGCAGTAAACTTAGA